TCTAAAAGTTCCTATTATGTTTTGCAGTGTTTTCAGTTGTTGTACACCTAAATGCAGCCTGGAGATACCGCGAACTTGGTAGGCATGACGTCCACAAGTTAGAGCTCACTTACTTCATCGGACCAGACAAGTTGATTCTGGACAGCACACAGATCGCTTAGCGTTAGAAACTTAATAACGGCTGGTCCTCGCAATCCATCGCTAAACTCACAGTAAGGCTCTCTCACCTTCATTGTGCCCTATGCCTAGCGGGTTTCAAAACCATCAAGGGAATATTATATCATTTTCAGCTGGCTCTTTCGGAAATCTTAACCGATTCATGATACTTTGAAGACCACTTATCACATTCGACTCAAAGTTCCGGATGACGTAGATTCCTTTGGCTTCCAAAAATTTTGAACTGCCTTCATTTACTCGTTAAAGTAAGCCACGTGAGCCAGATTCATGAGTACTACTGCATGCGCATAAAATAACTCGGTAGAAACATATGATTCGGCAGCTACCTTCGGAATTTCAACTTCCTACCTGTCACGTGCGTAGTAAAGTAAATAGAATGTTGTCATTGCTCACAGTTGACAACATTCAACATCAAACTTTTTGACGCACCGAATGCGCGGAAGATAGATAACGTGGTCACTCAGATAAGTGTTCAAATCGACAGCATCTCACTTGATGTAATGAGTTAGTCCGACGAGATGTTCAATCAAGCACATTTTATACTTTATTACAAACAGTCTATGCAGTGGCTGTTTTATTTTTACACAGGAGTCAATAATTCATTGTATTACTTTACTAATACATACACTATTATCATTATTACTAGAAACGTTATTATTTATGTTGTCCACTGTGATTCGCGCTACCAGATAGAAACTTTGTACCTTGCTTTACAAAGTTAGGTGATGACTATGAAAACTGGAGTAAATTCTTATTCACTCATTGCCATTCACTAGGGCAACAATATCCCGTCTTTGAGTATAATCCTTGTAGAACGAGTTGAACCAAGCAGTTTCGATTGATGCGAACTGTCGTAAGCTTTGTTGTGCACTAGGATGAGATGTAACATTTCACCGTCCAACCTATTAGCATCCGTCCTCTCCTCGCTGAGTGAATTTGGACAGCCTGTGCGCCCTGAATGCTAATCATGCCACTGTCTATATAATTTACCGCTATTTAGGAGAAGCGCATTAGTATCTAGCGTAGGCATCAAAGCCACACACGTATGAACATCTGTCAGAGTGACCGACCACGCGAAAACGCCAGTCCCTCTCTCACCCGTATCGATCGATTTGGTGGACTCAAAACAAGACACGAACACAGAGCGGACAACATGAATGAAGGACGCACACACACACACACATATACACATAGTATCGGGAGAGCCGTCCCGGCGCAACACGTCGGGACGGCAAACAAAGCATTCGCGTTCCTACGATCGATTGTGTCCGAAATAGAACAAATTCCCGTCATCAGGAGAAAAAAGTCTAACTGGTCAGCTCAAATTGGTATTGCTTTGGGAAAAAATGTTATTTCTTGTTTCTTGTTTACATCAGAACTGGTTTCCATCCCATCCCATGCACATGATCACCACAGGGCGGGTAAGTTCACCTAGCTCAAACTTTCACGATGTCTGCACAACGGGTTCGTTGTCTTGACACTTTCCTCACCCCGCCTCCAAAGGATTTGAGTATGTTTGAGGAGCTCATGAAAACTGCTCACGAAGGCTGTCATTGAAAAAAAAACTCGAATTCTCAATAGTTGGATAGGTGATGCACAGAGCAGGAAAAGGGGAATAGACCAGACCGAATGAAATGGAATTAGCTTCGTTCACGCGCTCCATTTGGCTTCATCTTTAACCTCGGGATAGGGGCAGGGGGTAAGTAGGGTACAAATATTGCTTCAGAACCCATCTGCTTCCATTAATCTAATTAATAGTGAATGGAACTGTGGCATCGTTGGCCAGCGCGCGACGCATACACTATTTATGGTCGGTGCTGGAGCGAGAGCAGACGTCAGAACACCTCGCTGGGAAGTTGGCAAGTAGGAATAATTATGGTATAAGTCTGACGGTCATATTCCCAGCTGTTGGTTACCAGTACAATCTGACTGAGGCGCATTTACTGATAACGTACTTACTGATGCTCTCGATGGACACAGTTTGGGAAAAACTGCAAAGTAAGACGGAAGGGAAGAGTTGAAAATTGACAATTTTTTTTAAGTTTATGCAGTGTCACGCAAAGGTAATTTGGTGTTTGAACCGAGGTAAAAGTTGCTGAAGGCCGCGACCATCTCATGGGCTGTCAGTGAATTCGATCACTAATATCAAACTACTAATGAAGAAAAAGCCTCCGCTTTATCATGTTATCATTTAAACTGAATCACTGAATATCGATTTACATGCAAACGACTGATTTACTCAGTAAAGTGACTTTGTGATTATTTTATTGGTTGAGCAAAACTCTGATAGTTTACTACAGGTTTCATCCTTCCTGGGGCTCATCAGGCAGACAGTTTTAGAACTTCCCGTCAGTCTTATGTTCTATATATCGTCTATTTTTGAAGAACATAGTCACAAACATAAAAAGTAGATGCAAGCGATAGATGTGGAAGGGTTACAGGAGAATATTGGGTAACACGAGGGAAGCGTTCCATTCGAAGTCTTGACGACAACCGTTCCAGTAAGACAAAATGAACCCCAAGCACGTGAGAATGTTTGCTATGGAAACACGCGTGCAAAGAGCAGCAACTGAAGAAAAGACAAATAATTCTAAATGAACTTCAAGGCGCGGTAAGCGCCAGCACGGTTGAGACTCGCACATCAGGCACAAAGTCTCAGTCATACTGGTGTGAAATTCAGTGGAAACAATGAACACTCATCGCCATGTAGCACACATAAAAGTGTCACAAGTACGCAGAGAGCCCACGATGGCAAGCAAATACTAGTCACTGACTGTGACCTTACGGAGCCCCAGTCCAATAAGAGCCTTGGCGGATTGAGGAAAGCAGATCCCTCGATCATCGGTTGGTCGACCAGAAAGTCGACATTACAAACGATTGCAAGTAGGGATAAGATTATGGCGAGAGAAAATTCACCAGTACCACACATTTGCTTCTTCTCATTCCACACAATCACTTCGTGCTCATCCGAGAGTATGCTCACATCTATCACAGTTGCTCAGTGCTCCCGAACAGCGACTATGTCAGGCTTGATGAAGGGCTTCGTCTTAAGTACTCATAACTCCTTGAAGACGTGTATCCCAGTCGATGGAGACGTTTCGCGAGTTCCCTTGCCACCCGATTATGACAGGCACATCTAGCATCATGCGTGGTCCAGCGGGACTGTGGAGCATGCACCAAACTATCTGGTTGGCCATAGCTTCCATGACCGAAGATCGTCTGGCCCCCATGACCACGCCAAGCGCTTCTAACTCTCGTCCTCAGCAGGTTTCATCGGAGCTGGATACTGCGGATAAATTTCCGAGGAAACACTCGTTCTGGAAACACAAACCATCGATTCCACAGAGACGTAGCTACCAGTTCTCGTAACCGCGACTGTCAACGGTGTTTTGCAGACTATCGCCCCCAGCAGCCACCAGCCCCTCCTTGATGTTTACGCACGCACCTTAGACTCGGATCGGAAGGCTGAGAACCCCGGTATTAGGTAGTTCCATACGATCTTCTGTTGTGTTTTGGGTGGCCGTCTATTGGTTACGCCTGAACTGAGTCTGCCAGACTAACCCCGATAAGGCTGTATTGTCAAGGTAGACATACAGAGCTAAATGACCAATTATGGTCACTCACTTTTTCGTTCTCTCAAGCCAGTGGAGACGTTCCTGCCGTGAACAACTTCACACCCACTCCGCTGTTCGTTGCCGTTATACCGTGTTTGGTAAGCTCCGCCAACGTACTTGCTATCCGGAGCGTGTGGTACCAATGGTGACCTTGGGAACGTTTAGTTCTCTGCACGTGTACTTTTCGTGCCTGAACACTTCCTGACATCTCCATTCGTGATGCGGCTTCAACGGGACACGCGTCACCGCATCGAGCAGTTTGAGCAGCTGCTATCGGTGGTTGCAAACTCCTTTCCCCTTGAAAGTAAAGAGGATGCTCAAATATGTCACTGTGTCTGTCGTCCCAGAGGAATGATGAGTTCCTCGGTGAAGCGAAATGGTTCTACTGAGACCGCTGTTGTTCAATGTTTCCTGTCCCCACAAATAAGCATCAATTTCGTCTTTCGGGCGTTTATTTTCATGCCAGCTCTTCCCAACTCGACCACAGCAGCTTCAAGCTTCTTTTGAACGTGAGCCTGACTTTCTGCACTCACGACCCAGTCGTCACGGAACTGGTAGCCCAAATGGGGCATCGACAATCCAAGAGCCCCATCCACTGCCTTGATGAACAATAATCAGGAGAGTGGATCTGCCTGCCTCAGACCTCTACGACAGTGAAAGTCGGAATTGGGGAAGACTGCTGCAGCATTCGCATAGGACTGTGTGGTGTATCGAGGCTCCAGATACCTCGGTAAATCTGACAATTGTGTCATGCGAAACCGAATCAAACGCTTTCGAGATATCAGCAACCCCCAAGCTGAGGTTAGGAGCATTCACTGAAGAGTGACGAAGCAGGGCGTGCAACAGCGATGTGGTTCCCAAACAACCGTTTCGATGTAGAAATGCGAACTGGAGTGAGGGGAGTTGCAATCTACGGCTCCAACGATCAACAAGCACTTTGTGAAACCATCGACATGGAGATCAGCCTCAGTTGATTCGGTGAAGTCAGATTCGGGACCTTTGGAACTAGGGTAATACGGGCATGACACAGATGCAGCGAGCAACCCCCAGATAATAAGAGTAAGCTACGATACCCAGCGAGGACATTGACATTGAACCGGCGAAGCACCTTGACCGTGAGCTTTTCCAGACCTAGGGACGAATCGCCCATTAAATGGATCGCAAGGTCGACTTCTTCATCTGTAGCTGGATGGATCAAAGTCCTATCGAATGGTTGTACCGCGCGACTTGGCCGGCTATCCATGTGCTTTGGAGCACATGCCAATTGTGCTTGGCATCGGGAGGTAGGCCACAGTTGCATTCCATAGCCCATCGAACACAGCAGAGGCTTCATTTTCCCCCTCTTCTGTGGTACAAGATCTGGATGGCGGCGTAGTTTGCTCGATGGTTGCCCGGCACCCGATGGGCTAGCTAGCGACGGAGTTGGGATGCAATTTTCCAGGTGTGCGGAAATGTCTTGGAGGCGTGGAGGTACAGAAGTGACAGGACTTGCTCCGGTGTCGTGATGCCAGAATTCGACCCTCGGGCAAATGTCAGAAGGTCAACATTAGCAAGCGAACCGTCAGCATGCGATTCTAAGAATGTCACGGCGCAATCCACGAAACCAAACGCTATAGTCATCGGCTTCTGACGGGTAGGCCGTCATTTGACCGTTAGTTTGGTCAGATCCACCAGATGATGATTCGTCCGGCTGTGCTTGCCCGTTAAGCACCCGTAACCTGATTTGATGCTGATAGCCATCGACCGGGAAAATACTGCTCTAGTCACACGAACAGCGCGGTTTGCATGCCACAAGACGGATATAAATTGTTAGCCAGGCGTGAGAGTGATTGCGACTCTTGTTGGGACCAGTGGACATCAAAATTGTTCACTCGGCCAAGCTTATCTGCATTATGCTGTGTGCGTTCCGGCGGTGTTGACTCAGGCCATCGGAAAAAGGCGTGAACAATCAGCGCAAGTCAGTTGGAAGACCACGTTCGAACGAACACCTCCATGGACGTGAACTCGATGGTGGGCTACTAAGCCAGCCATTGATTTGCAGCACTTGCCACATTTCTCACACGTGAGTCCCACGAGTATCGTCTGTGTACTGGTTGAAACCGGTGCGGAGGCGCCAGGTGATTCGTACAGTACAGTATCGAAAATAACCAGCACACTGAAATCAAAAAGGGTGGTCAATCCTGTGTGGAGTTGCTTAACTTTAGCTCACCCAGACTGATGTCCAGGCTACCCAGTCGATACCACAAGGGGTGGTTCAGCGCGCCGATTATTACAGTTTCAACTTACTTCGCATCGTGGTACTTCAACAAGTAAAACAAAAGCTGCTGTTTACCTGAATCTTGCATCCATCTAATATGATCAAGCAAAACACCACAGGTCTACACAAATTCACGATATGTTCGGCCAATAGGCAGGCTTGCTTTGACCTTCCCGGTCCCTATTAAGCGTCGCTCACTTGCCCCCACCTAAGCGAATAGGCAAGTCTTTCGAGATGTCGACCAGTGCTCTCATTTGCACATGAATTTGGTTTTCATGGGCGAGCTAGATTAAGCTGAATCTCTCGTCCACAATGGTCAGCTTCAACTGCATGTGCTGCACAAGGTCGCCGCATTTTTCAGTTGGTTCGATATTCGAGATATCGCAATGCATTTTATAGGCGTAGCAGACTACTCATAAGGTTGCTGAAAAGGCTTCGGCAGTCCACGACTTTTTTTACCCTTGTCAGGGCTCTTTTGGGATGAATTTTCGAGGAACCTGTCAGTAAATATTGACTAATACTAAGATAGCCTGTACTGTTCCTTTGACAGTGTGCCCCGTTGTTGTTTTGGAAGGGTAGTTTTTTGAATAATTAAAGCTTAATTTTACTTTAGTACAAAGTCAATCCCATCAGGCACAATTTTCTCGGTAGAAAGTTGACCATAGTTTTATTGATTGATCATCTGTCACAACGCATTTTACCGACTGCGAAAAGACCACTTTGCATGGTATGCAAAACATAATAACCTCGACAGCGCATGCAAACTACAAAACATGCACACCCTTTCCGATTGCACTGGTGGATCGATCAACACAGCAGAATCATGTACCGACTGACAAGTTAACCCTGATTGTGGAATATCACTAACACCTGTCACCACAAACCAGGTCACATAAGGAAACTACTCACAAGGTTGCTTATTGATTGCATGCAAGGCAGTAAACATCAAAGTTTGTTTGGCGTGATATGAAGATCCGACATGTGCTGCTGAGCGAAATAAAGCTCAAAGATTGAGTATAGTAGCGGTACAACGAGAGTAGGCTGTATGACTATAAATATGCATTTGGTTTCGATTCATGGAGTCATTTCTTTCTGCCAGACGTGAAGCTGATGTTGTGTGATTTCACGAACTGGTTTGCCAGAAACCTCTAATTCTACGGTTTGGTTGAATATTTCTCTGTTGTGGAGGAACTGACCACGTGACTTTCACCTCACTCATCAACACTTCAGCTGATCTGTTCATATAGGTAGATATTAACCCAGCAGTTCCCGGATGCCACAATCTACTTTCAAACCTTATTTACTGAACGAAATGATGGAAAAATGGGTTCAGTCGAATTTCTAGATTAACGTCATCTTGTCCGTTACATCTAACAAGAATGTTTGATGACGACCACCAGTCAAGCGAAACTCCAAAAATAATAGTCAATAGTCGAACTGTAGACAAAATAATGGCATTTATCGCGTGGACACAATACGTCATAGCAAATTGGTTGAAGTAAATTGGACAAAAATGCCCAATCAAAACGCCCAAAATGAAACAATTCAACTCTATCTGTACCTGCGGAAACAGCATCTGAGTGATTGGAAAAAATGGATATAAAAGGTTTGACATATGTGATCGGCAAAAGTACAGCGTAGATGCCGCGGACAAATCAGTCTTACTGTTCTCGACAAATGTTCTGATTTGCATACTAGTTTGATTGTGACCGGAGACTCACCTGAGTCCAGCTGAATCTCTCTCGTGTATGCTGGTGCGCTTCAACCGAGTGTGCTCCGAGAAGTGCAAAACTGGTAGTGGGTGGTCGAAGAGTGTTCATTAACCTTACGCGTAGTGTGTTGAGTATAGACAATGTAGTCTTACCCTTTTTTACGTTGATTCGGGCCTCTCACAGAACACAACGGTGATAAGACTGAATTCTCGTAGCCTGATGGGGTAGAATATATCCTCAATTAACGGGATCGTGCAACATTTGCCTCGAAATTGTCCACAAAGAATACCACGCATGGTGCATCCAAATTTGTGGGGCAGGCAGCACTGAAAGCTCAGGGATTAATTTTTGGGTCCAAAAAAGCCACTGAAGCATTCAGTCAACATGCTTTCACTGTCTGATTTTGGAACGCCACAGTCCTCGTCGATTTGACCTCCTGTGCGACGATGGCATCTTGACGGATATTGATTCCGTGCAGAGTGGCAAAACATACAGGGTGCTCTTCATTGCATAAAGCTCCATGGACAAAGTGCCCCACCTAGTGGACACTTTTGGAAGTGCAGAAGGAACCTACTGGAGCGACTATTTCTATTTATTTCACTCAAAAGTATTTCATCCTGCTCTTTTACTACCCCGCTTAACACCTCCGTCATATATGCAACACAGACACTAGACCATTGTAATCACGAAAATAAAATCTAGCGAAAAATCTTTGTTCATTTCCGGAAGTTGGGCGACTATCTTTGATCGGACTGACCCTCAGTATCCGAAACGTCGGATTACACCATACAATCAGTGTATCATCTTCCTGATGCCTGATCCTTATATGATGGCATGCTTTTCTAGATCTACCTGAGTTGTTCACGACTCGGAAATTTACAAGACGATTAACGGCCAACTTTACCTGGCTTAACTGCTCAACTGTTACTTGTTGGTAAGCTGCTGAATATATTGGGATTTCTCTCTTTTCACCGGAAATAATATTTTGACAATTCGACTAATTCGAGATTATAACAATAATGCGGACTGGGTTTACTTCACTCCATTAGTGCTCACATCTCTAATGTATAAAGTTCAATCATTTTTGGCCACTCAGCTGAGAACAAGACAATGGAACAATACAGCTGCGATCGGTCGTCACGTGACCGAACAGTGCAGGATTAGATAAGGCTAACGTGCACGCACCGATAAGACTGACAGCTGTTCTGACGAATTATCACTGAAGCATTTTCACCCTCTCACCACGATTTGTTTTTGTCTACCAAGTTGTCTGAATTTCTGGGTCGTCGCGTGCTGCCATGTGAAAATGAGAAGGGAAGAAAAGCGGTTGAAATGTTGTATGAAACGTTCGTCACAGATTTACCTGGTTATTACTTAAAAGTAATTAGAAGAGACTACCATACGGTAACCACTATTACGCCCCACATGAACTTTCCATGTTTAAACCCAACACTGCAGAATACAGAGAAGTATCTGCCTTGTGACTGATGTGCAGTTACTGCGCTTGAACACTTGTACACGAGAGAGCCCAAAAAGTCCGACAATTGGAGAAAAAAAGTGTTAATGTGAAGTTAAGAAATGCCCTCCTTTACCTTTTGAAAAGTGATGACGTAACAGTTGGACATTAAGCACAATGTGATCAACGCTTTGTTCGACAATGGAATCAGCGCGGAATACATTCTCACGGACTTGATTCATAATCTTATCACAATGGTCTACCGAGTGTCTAAACGTAGTGGATGTTAACATGTAGGATGTGGAATATTCCAACTAACCATGTGTCCAGTACACATAGTGTCGTTTTATGTTACACGATGGCTCATCAAACGGATGTGAAAAACGCTTCTGCAGGAGGCCGTCCTAACCTTCAATCGGGATAAAGCCTGTAGCGAAGAAATCTGGGATAATGTGATTAGACCCCTCAAAGATGCCGGCAGCTTGATTGACGCATAAACTTTACATGAATTGGGTTTTCTAAACGTGGCTTACAGTGCTCTCCCTTACGATAAACAACATGGTTTGGTGACTCAGCACATGCTTCTAAATCCTCAAAGGATTATGCATGATTGTGATGGGACAACCTTCATCTTCAGTCGCAGGGACACGCGGTCCAAACCGACCGTATGATTGTTGAATAGCGGCAGGTGTGTCTTTTGTCCTAGCGCTAATCTAGCGGGTCGTATGGAAATCTCGATGGTTACTCTCATTTGCATAGGAATTTGGTTTTGACATCCAGTGAATCTCTCGTTCATAGTGGTCCGCTTCAACTGAATGAGCTGCACCATGGTTCAGTCGGTACGATATTCGAGACATC